CCTCTAGCGCCAAACTGTTGACGGGCGTTTTCGATCAACGGTTAAAAGATAAATAATGAGAAGGTAAAGAGGAAAAGGCAAAGAAGTACGATTTAGTTATGGTTTTATTATCAGATCACTGGGTCGGCCTCTCGTACGAGGTCGGCACTCGTGATATCCTTGCAAATTCTTACGAGGTCGGAACTCGGATGTCAACAGATAATTAACCTATCTTTTGGGTCTTGGACTGAAAAATTCCTTATTTATATATATATATAATTGCTAGCATAATATTAATATTACCTAATAAATTTTACCTCATAAATTTTACTTATTAAATAATACCTACATGGCAAAACTTTTCATACTCCAAATCGTTACAGTCTATTATTATTATTACTAGTATTAATCCTGTGCACATGCACAGGTTACCAAAAATAAATATATATTATATATAAAAACTTTAATTAAAATAAAAAAGTTTATAATGTGGTATAAATATTATATCAGATTTATAATAAAATCGTTATATATGACTCTTAGTTAGATTTTTATACATCAATGAAAAAGAACAATATGAATTTTTTGTCATAATTAATCCCTCCCAAAAAAGAGCGGGAAAATAAAATATTTAGCATTAATGGGAGAGCCCCTAATTATATATATAGATTATATTCCATTAATGATAAAATATTTTCTTGCACTTTTTTTTGGGCAAATATAATACCATTATATGACTTACAATTTTAAATAAACCAACAGAAAAATGTGTGAACTAAAAAACAAACATTTTTTCTTGGGTACCATAGAAGAATAATATATTAGCTTAGTCAAAAAGCCTATTCTCCGTTAAATTCTCGTGATTATAATGATTACGACGTTCACGAGTAAGTTAATGTCCCATCGTTGTTTAATCCTAAATTAATATTAATTATGATGTTCATAAGTCAATCAAATAATTGAATTGATAAGATTATTTTAGTGCTAAAAAAAAAATTATGTCAAACTTCGCCAATTGCAAACTCATCCTTTGAGGAACATCACATAGACATAGCGTGGATAATTTGATCATGAACCAGTCTAATCAAAGCTAAATCAAGTCCCATGAAAAAGTAATTAATGACTAATTAAGGTTACAGCTAAGTAGTTTTGCTATGAAGCCAACCTTCTATATACAACAAGTGAATCATACCATATTAATAAAATTATTAGTATTTATTTAAGTAATTAGAGAATATGGTATGATTTACTTGTTCTATATAGAAGGCTGGCTGCACTATGAAACCAACTGTTAACTTCATAGCAAAATTGTACTGCTAAATTCAATATTGTCGTGACATATCATTTATCATGTTATATTTTTCTTTAAAAAAACATATAACTCATAGTTAATGTAATAATTTGAAACGTATGCGGAGAGTATAATAAAATACGCTAAGTATGTTCGAACACAAAAAATAAAAGCAGAAACAATTAATTTAGAAAATCTCTTCGAGTAGTGTCCCACTATCTCTCTGAGTTTTTCATTAATAGACCGGTTTGCGCGCACAAAGTACAACTTAGATTTACAAGACTCGAACTCCCTTCTAGTCTAACCAACATTATACCCAACTCTATAATTTAATCATATGGCCACAAACGTGGCCTTCACAATAGCTATCTCTTAGCTATACTAGAACTTAATCCCTAAGTACGAAAAGTATTTGTAAAAACAGAAACCAAACACAGTTCTTCACTTATGTAAAAACACTAAAAAAACCGAATACAATAAAAGCTCAAGAAACAAAATCTCACAAACACTCGAGGAAGTCTATTAATATAATAAAATCTCTAGATAATACATCAGCCTTCAATTGAGTCTTTGTGTATGTATATATGCAATCTCCTCAAGGTAAGGAGTCTTGAATCTTCATTCCCTTTGGAGTTGATTTCCTTCACTCTTTAAACTCCAAAATACGGCCGGTACCTTCATACGTTGAAGCCAAATTTCTTCATCTCCAATGTTCCTCGATCAGCTTTTCTCTTTTCATTAAATATGAGATCTCATGCACATAGCCAAAACAAACATTATGGAAATATTATCTTGATATAAATAAAGTCTATGAAATACTAAAGAAAACTTTCCATACTTAATAAATAAATAGTATCTAGACTTTAATAAATGAGAGAGAGAGAGAGAGAGAAAAGATCTTCTGTTGTTATATATCTTTGCTTGCTTAGAACATCAAGATATTATTTTTGAATCTTTTTGCCAAAATTAAAACCTTACATATTTTTTAAACACAAATGCTACTATTAGCCTAGCTAACAATCGGGTAGCCATACTTTATCACAAAATATGCATAATTATCTATGAAATTATATACCTTTATATAAATTTAATTTTATAATATAAAATTTGAGTGTAAAAATATATGGGAAAATTACACGTTGCCTACCGAACTATTCGCATTTTTACACTTTGTCCACCAATCTTTTTCCGGCGACACTTTAACCCTTGAACTTCAGGATTTGTTACACTTACCGACTTCCGGCCATCGGACTCGCAAAATGAAGGGCAAAATCGACCTTTCAAGTACTAAATTACTTTGAAATAGGAAAACGCCTAATTGAAATCATTTATAACCCTACTTGAACCCTAAAAAGCACGACCACTTCTCAAAATTGAACGAAAATCTGTCAGCTTCGATTGTTTATTGTTTTGTTTATGATCTTGTGTTGGACTGGGGTTGGGGATTTAAGTGTTTACACCATTTTTCGTTTTTCTTGCAGGTGAAAATGATGAATATTTCACTATTAGGATTTACCATGGCGGCCAATTTGTGGATTTAGGCTGCAAGATGTATTTGAACGGTGGAGTCTCACATGTCGATTTTTGCCATCCCGATGAAATGTTACTAATTGAGGTAATGAGCATGATAGGTGAATTAGGGTTGAATTCAACTAAAGGTGTATATTGTAGTAAGGGTGCGGTTAATGACTGCAATGACTTAATCTTGTTGGAAAATGATAATGATGTCATGCAAATGTGTTTCAAGAAGGATGTAGATAGAATAGTTGCTTTGTATGTGGATCGTGAAACCTAACTTCCTGCAATTTCTGAAGGTTTGGATTTTATAGGTGATAATGATCAATACTTGATGAATGAAAACCCTTCTGTTGTGGGTATGAATGAACTTGATAATAGTTTGAACAGTGATTCTGATGATGATGAGCAATCTTTGGGGACATGTTCTGAGTTATCTGAGATTTTGATAGATAGTGAAGGTGAAACATCTGATGCAGAGAATGATGATCAATTTTTTTATGATAATATTGATTTTGATGTGGAGTTTGGGGGATTAGGGACTGAGACATCTCACACTCAGTCAAGCAATGGAACAATCAGGACAGAATGTAGTAAAGGTCACAAGGGTCATGTAGTTTTCAATGGGAGGACAAATATGAGTGAACCTAAATTTGAAATAGGAATGTTTTTCCCTAATATGGCTTAGTTTAGGAAAGTAGTGAGGCAGAGTGCAATAAAGAATGGCAGAGATGTGACTTTTAGTATCAATGAGAAAACCAAGGTCCAAGTAAAATGTAAGCATAATAATTGTCCATGGCTCATTTATGTTGCACTTTTGTCAAGTGAGGACAGTGTACAGGTTAAAAAGTATAACCCTACACACAAGTGCCCTAGGATTCAAAGAGAATCTCATGCCAACTCTAGGTGGTTAGTTGAAACTTATAGGAAAAAATATGGTATGACCCTACTTGACCTGTTCATTCTATGATGAAAATCATGCAAGGTGAAAACAAGCTTCTTCTCAACAATAGCCAACTCTATAGGGCTAAGAAAAAGGTGTTAGCATGTGGGTCTGATGGCCATCATGAACAATTTGGTTTGTTGTGGTCTTATGCTACTGAAATCAGAGACAAAAATCCAGGCACTACAATTAAAATCAAATGTAAATTGCTTGGGGAACAAACCTCTTTTAAGAGGTTATATACATTTGTTAGGGGGCTTTAAGGGATGGATTGTTATATGGGTGTAGGCCAGTGTTGTTTCTAGAGGGATGTCACTTAAAGACTTCAATTGGGGGAGTCTTGTTTACTGCAGTGGGCACAGATGCAAACAATGGCATGTATCCAGTGGCATATGCAGTGGTTGAAAAAGAGAAAAAAAAAATCTTGGAGCTGGTTTTTAGAGTTTTTGATTGAGGATTTGAAAATAACCAACCCATACCATTGGACCTTTATGTCAGATAAGCAAAAGGGTTTGGTAGAGTCCATTGACACTCTCTTACCTGGGGCTGAGCATAGGTTTTGTGTTCAACACCTCTATGCTAACTTTAAAGCCTCACATAAGGGTTTGGCTCTTAAGAGATTGTTGTGGAAAGCTGCAAGAGCCACAAGAGTTCAGGATTTTTAAAAGGCTATGATTGAGCTGAAACAGAGAGATGTAGCTGCATTTGACTGGTTAAATGCTAGACCACCTGCAAATTGGTCTAGGTCTCATTTCAGCACACATTCAAAATGTGATGTGCTGCTCAATAATCTCTCTGAAAGTTTTAATGCTTCTATTGTGAGGTCTAGATCTCAGCCAATAGTCAAGATGTTGGAGATAATAAGACTGTCTCTAATGAAGAAAATTCATTCAAAGGGGGATCAAATGAGAAAGCACCATGGGCAACTGTGTCCAAGAATTGAGAAAATGCTGGAAGAGTTCAAAAAGAAGAGCATGAAGTTTGTTTTCTATTGGAATGGGGAAGATCAGTTTGAGGTTGAGGACAGCTCAGGTACAAAGTTCAGGGTGCACATTGGGGAAAAAACTTGCTCCTGCAGAAAGTGGGAGCTCAGTGGAATTCCTTGTGCACATGTTATATCAGGAATGTACTACTTGGGTCATAACCCAGAGGATTATGTGGATGATGCATACAAAAAAGAAACATATCTGAGGGTGTATAGCCACTTAATGGGAACTATAAGTGGATCTGATGAGTGGCCAGAGGTGGAAAACCTACCATTGATCCCACCAATTGTTGGACAGCTACCTGGGAGGCCCAAGAAGAAAAGGCCAGGATGAAGCAAAAGGAAAAAAGAAAGTGGTCAAAACTGCTACTGGTTTGAAACTGACCAAAAGAGGAGTTGTCATGAAGTGCTCAATTTGCAAGCAACCAAATCATAATTCAAGGGGCTGCCATAAAAACCCACTTTGTAGACCCACCAACCAAGGTCTGGATGTACCAGCAGCTACTACCAATGGAAAGGTGATTACTTTATGTTAACTCCCTTTGTGTTCTGATTACTATTATGTGTATGATATATTCTTTTTTGTTTTTGTTTGCTTTGTCATTAGGAAAAGGAATCTCAAACAAATAAACAATCTTAGACTGAGCCAGTGATTAGTGGAAAAGGAAAGGTACATCAACTGATATGTTTTTTCTTGCTCAATTTGCAAACAACAAAATCACAATTCAAGGATCTGATATGTTTTCTTGCTTTTCAGAGAAAGAAAAGAGGTTTTGAAGGTACATCAACAGGTTTTGAAGGTGCACCTAATGGAAAAAGGAAGGTACATATTTTATCAATCAATTGTTTTACTGTTGTGTTTTTTTATGTGGCTTCTGATTATTGGAGTCTGTCACTAATGTTTTTGTTGTTTTGAAGAATAAGGAAAAAGGTCTTGAAGGTACAAGTAGTGGTGTAAATGTGTCTGTGGTTGTCACTAATGCTACATCAAGTGCACCTAATGGAGAAGGAAAGGTACAATGTGTAGTCCATCAATACTTTTATTGTTGTATGTTGTTAGTTGCCTAACTGTTTTTCTTATTTCTTGTTTGTCAGAGTGCATCATCTAAATCAAAACTGAACATTTTCACTCAAGAGAAAAGAATGACAAGAGAAAAGAATGACAAGAAGTCTTACACAAACCACTTCATACATCACTTCAGAACTCAGCCACACCACAATCACTCCACCCAAAACAAAGATAACAAAACAAGTCTAAAACCATAGCAACTTCACCCAAAACAAAAACTTAAGTAAACCTGATCAAAATGCCTGCCTACTTCTTAAGAAGGAAAAACATCATGATCCATGAAATAACAATAGCACACCACATCAACTTCACCCTTTTTTCTTGCTTGCCAATTCAGCTTCTGCCAGATTAATGCGTATCAAAAGTCCAGGTATAATTTGTCGAGCTCCTGTACACATTGAAGGGTCGATCCACACAAAATGTTTGCAACCATTCTTGAACAAATCAAGTCAATATAATAACAAATCAAGAACAACTCAAGTTAATGTAAAATAAAAACAAATCAAGAACAATCCAACCATTCTCAAAAATGTTTGCCACTGAATTTCGAAAAAAAAAAAAAATTCTTACCCATTTGCACGTCGCGTATCGCCTTCTCGGGTTGTTGTCCGTCCACGACGTCACCATCACCGTCCTCTTTCCACAAGTGCAATACTCATCCAAGGTCACCTCCGACGTCGGCCTCCACATTTTATCCTCTTTTTCTTTGCCCTAGAATTTTGATTTGGGGATTTAGGGGTTGTTCTTCATAAAATCTGATTTGGGGATTTTATAGAGAGGGTCGATTGTTTGTGTCTGTAAAATGACAACCTTGTCCAAAATTAGTACCTGAAAGGTCGATTTTGCCCTTCATTTTGCGAGTCTGATGGTCGAAAGTCGGTAAGTGTAATAAATCCTGAAGTTCAGAGGTTATAGTATCGCAGGAAAAAGATTGGTGAGCGAAGTGTAAAAATGCGAATAGTTCGGTAGGCAAAGTATAATTTTCCCAAAATATATACATATAATGAGTGAGCATAGTTGCCTAAGCAATAAAAGAATTACCAATTTTAAAAGTTTTCATCTTTATTTTTGAACTTGCTACCACTGTTTTAAATATAATAGTCATACTGACCTATTCACTAGTATATAGTATTGCGGTTCAACTAGTAATCATGGATATTATCGGAGTAGAAAATATAAAAGCATATGTAAATTTTAATATCAAATACGGCAAAAAATGATATATTTACTAACATTTCAATAAGATAAAAATAAGATTAAAAATTCAAGTTTTAGGCCAAGATAAGAATTTTTCGAAGTATTTAGAAGTATATATTAAAAAACAAGACGCACTGGTTGTGAGAAAAATCGTTGAATATTTCGAAGTATTTAGGCCAAGACAAGAATTTGACTGCCGATCCGTCAAAATATGGTCATGGAGGTCATCTTTCCTCAGCGATCGCTGAATTAATTTTGAGATCATAAATTATAATAAATTATTATCGCCAAGTCGGGACAACCTTTGTCTTGTAATAGACACCAATGATGACCAAAGACATCTTTACAGAAATTTTTTTCCAGTGATCGTTTGTATCAGAGGTCGTTATATATTGAACGCCAACCTTGCATTTGTTTGCCCCTTGTAATATAAGACTTTTGATATACGTCGATTGGAAAGTACGGGATCTCATAGAAACATTACAATGCAGTGATCACGTATACACAATACACAACTAGCGATCATATGAAATAAACAAGAGTACATTCATATATGATAACTTGAACATATGTAACTTGCCGACGTATCTATATCTAAAACATTGGCTAATCAAGATATACATGATTGAGAAGACCTCCTTTGTTGTTCTATCGATGTTGTTGATGTTGATTGGCTCGATCGCATATTAGCAAAAATACATGTTGATCGACATGTCATAGGCATAAAAGTTGATCGGCATGTCATTATTACATGACAAGATATTGTGCCGAAAAACGTCCTATGAGGCATCTTTCACACAGATCACCCATTTTTCGTGTGATCGGACACGGTAGTCGAAGCTTGAAAAAAATTTACGTAAGATGCTCTTGCCATGGGATGATATCGTGCCAATATCCCAGGGAGCATCTCTGCACAGATCAATCGGTTGAGGACGAAAAGGAGAGGGTCAATTGTGCCGCCCTTCATTCGATAGGGTTTTATGAAGAGGATGTAAAGAAGAGTGTATGGAAAAACCATATCGGGGCTCGACTTTCTATAGCAGTGAGGTCCAGATGTAACTATTGATGGTCGCCTTCTTTCTAGTACCATTCTGTTGACGGTGTATCACCTACGGTTATAATAAGAATGTTTAAGGCAGTTTATTAGGGAGGTTACAATATAATTACGGTAAGATTTAGATATTTGGGATAGGAAGAGATCGCGAAAATCGTAAATGAGAAAAATAAAATGAGATACATATTTTGCCGATCAGTTGTGAATTCCGACAAGAAGAGGGTTTCTTTAGGATTTTATTAGAAATAATATATGAGAATTACATTCGAATATTTTATCTATGATCTATGAGAGATCATATAGAGTAATGGCAATCGTGATGATCTTTGAGAGATTAGCCGAGGTTGGCTTATAAATGTTTTTTCTTAGTTTGGCTTTGGTTGAACTTGATTAGCTTGAAGACTGGACTTTATACATGAAAAAGGTGCCAGTGTGTTAAATGGGGAATGCGAGGTAGGGGCGTAGGGTGGCGTTGCGTGTTTCCATGTAAAACTTTATTGGACATGTTGGGCGATGCTACCAGCTTTATCAGGGCTTGTTCAGACAGTCAGTGTGATCGCCAATCTTCTCTAAGAAGCTTCTGCAGGTGATCACCGTATTGATCGAGCGATCCGCAACCTTAAGTATGATTGCCTGGGTTGACTGTGGACTGATCTTTGTGGTCATGGGCCTTGTTTGTTCACTTTGCAACCCTTGTTTATTCACTTGGGCAACCCTAACGGTGATCGACAACTCTTGTTTGTGTGGGGTACAAAATATTATCCACTCAACAACAAAGAATCACGTGAGAACTTGTTCATGAATATCGATAGCATGCCAACAACATAATCATTTGTGGTGCTGTTATCCAATGTCAAGGTAGACAACTTACTATCGATATTTCAACCCATTAAACAATCAAACAGAGTCTCACAAATTGTTTTGACTGTGTGCAGACAATGAACATACATAAACCTACATTTACATAAAACACATAACTCATAAAGAAAAACAAAATTTGGGAGGTAGGCCCTAAGGTTTTCCTTCAACTTGGATATCCTCCAAAACCTCTACAATTCCATACCAAGACTGTCATTATAAACTCTGAGACCAATTATGGCTAGTTTCCTCCACATTTTTTTTCTTCAAAAATTTCCAAATTCCTTCTTTGTTTTTAGTTGTCCAATTCTTTGTGTTTTAAATCTTTACTATTCTTTTCAGACATTTTCCTTTTTGAACCACTAGTTCCTTTTTCCACAATAGAAATAGAATGACTGGCCTAGTTTTTATCCATACTTTTTCCATACTTCTAGTTATTCTAGCAAAAGTTCTCTAATTTTTCTTGACAATCTCCTTATTTGTAACATCCACCACAAGAATATTAACTAGATTACTAGACTCTAACAATAACTCTCTATCAACATCGATATGCATAGGTTCAACAACCGCAAATCTCTCTCTCCCTCTCGCTCTCTGACTCCCAAGCTCAACCCTTTTTTCTACAGTATTCCCCGAAATACTACCCTGAATTGACTTAGGTTGATTCCTGCCAATCACTCCCACTTCCTCAACTATACCCCTAACTTCACCACCCAAATTTCGTTTACTTCCAGTTAGCTCACTAGGTTCCCCGACATCTACCCCAAGGCTCCTAGCTTTGCTAGACTGGACTATATCCCATCACTAATAGGACTTAGAGATCTTGTTTTCTCTGGATTCTCTATTTCCCCAAAACCCCTTAACCAGCTCCCAAGTTGCCTTGATTTAAGCATATTTCTCTGGACATATAACATCTTAACCTCACACTATCTATCACTATGTCATATTAACCACAATAGAAGCAGAAATAAGCAAGTTCTCATACTTGAAATCAATCCACTTCTCCTCCCTTCCTAATTTGAGTGTTGTTCCTCTTGGTATCGGTTCATTCACCTTAATTTATGCTAATATTCTCACCACCCTCCCAGTGACACTACCAGCCACAAAGACCAATAAATCCAAAGCCTTACTAAAGATCTTCCCCACCTTCATTCCAGTTTCCGCAGATATCCAATGAAGCGGCAGGTTGTGGATCTGCACCCATAATTAATTTTTAATTCCTCTTCTTTGAACTCAACTGTATCTTTTTCCCATTCCTTAAGCAGCAATATTGGCCATCAAAGGGTCACGTTTTTTTCTTTCAGCATTTGCGCTTGTCCTCCTCGGCCTGAAATAGAATCTAGAACATATTTGGCCTTAGCATCCGAACTGTAAATGGTCTGCTTGTTTTCTATATCACCCCCATTGTAGTTCTGAGACTCCTTAGATTAGCTTTTTTTTCCTTTTTTTTTTCTTCAATCACCTTTCATATCAAGCTAACCTGACATTCATTTATTCTCGGTTCCACATTAGTTTGGGATAAGTTTATCCTCGTTTTCTCTTTTTCCAACAATTCGAAACTGTGCAACTTATCAATTACTTCTTGCTCCATCCCTAGTCGTGAATACAAACCAAATCTCACTAACAAGTAGACTCAAGGGCGAGTGAGGTAGTGAGCCAGCCGCGCGGCGAACTAACACAAAAGCTCCATGAAACCCTATCCCTCTAGAAACCCACTAGACTCCCCACAAAAACTTCGCCAAGGTAAACGACACCTTAAAGTACCACTAAGAAGAAAAACCCTATCTTAATATGAACAAAAGACAAGAAAATCTAAATTTATAAAACTGTGATAAATCTTTAGACAGAGAAAACACCCCAATTGTAAAACTTCTTAAATAATTGGGGCCTCCAAGTATACGACCTAAGAACTGTACTAAATTTGACAGAGGCTCAAAGTATAGAAAATTCAAATTCAACTCGTTTAACCACTAAATTCTAATCATTACTATGGCTGAGCACGAGACTCGGAGAATTTTGAACCGTTCTAAAAACTGAACCAAAATCACTCTGAACCGAAAAATAACCATTGATCGTTTGAGTTTCTCCAAACCGAACCGAACTAAAAAATAATTGGTACAGTTTTGGTGTTTTCACAAATATCCGTACCGAGAACCGAACCAAACTGTCCCATACCGTACCGAAAGTAGAACCGAATTATAAAACTAGATGTGTGTTATTAATATATTTTATGTCAACTTTCATTCTATATAATTTGAGAAATTTTAAAATACAAATAAA